CAGCCGGTAATTAATTAACGAGCAGATGATTGGGTTTCGCTTTTGAACGCCACACAGGAAGAGATACAGAGGAGGAAGACAGAGAAGAGGAGGAAGGGATTTCCTGTTTCCTCCGTCTCTGTTATCTTTGTTTGTTGTTTGCACATTAGTCTCCCACACACAGCGGCATAAACACAAATATAAATATGTCGTTTATTCCTCAAAGTCACTCATCATTAGCGAGGAGTGCTGCGTTCAATGCCCGCGGGACATCTGAGGGTTCAATTGGATTGTTTCCGCCTGTTATGGATTATAACGAGGAGGATGTTTGCTACACACACACACACACACACACACACACACACACACACACACACACACACACACACACACACACACACACACACACACACACACACACACACCGCTCATCAGTCTAATGCAAATATTGATGTTCGTGGTGTAAGAGATTCCCTCGGGGCTCCCAGTAGTGTACTATTACCCACAATCCAATTCACCGCCCACACACACACACACACACACTGATCATATTACAGTCCATTACTGTGATTGACAGCGGCTCCATCAGCTGTCAGTCTCATTTAGGGTACATTACTTAATTTAAAATTAAATGATAACACAATTTGAACCTTAGTGTCTCTACTTTAAAGAGTCCTCTCCTGCTGATGTTCAGGTGTATATCAGTATGTAGTGTCTCTACTTTAAAGAGTCCTCTCCTGCTGATGTTCAGGTGTATATCAGTATGTAGTGTCTCTACTTTAAAGAGTCCTCTCCCGCTGATGTTCAGGTGTATTATATCAGTATGTAGTGTCTCTACTTTAAAGAGTCCTCTCCTGCTGATGTTCAGGTGTATATCAGTATGTAGTGTCTCTACTTTAAAGAGTCCTCTCCTGCTGATGTTCAGGTGTATAGCAGTATGTAGTGTCTCTACTTTAAAGAGTCCTCTCCTCCATGTTTTCACCCTCTGTCGGAGCCCAGTCTGCTCTGATTGGCTCTGTCGTGATTGGTCAACCAGCTTAGAGATGTCCCGCCCCTTATATAGTGATGTCATTATGTTACGAGACTAAACAAAGGAGTTTTTTAATGAGTATATTTCTTCAGGGCATAAAGTCAACTCTTTCGTTGGACTGATGGGGAAAAGAAGTGAAGAGGAGCCGGGTAAGTTAAACACTCATATCTCAAAATGTCTTTATGAAAGCAGGGAGGTGCAGGAATGAGTCCTAAACCTGGGAATAAGTCAGCATTTCATCAATCAGTCAATGGTTTTCTGGATGTGTTTTTGGCTGCGGTTAACACAAGCTGAAGAGATTTTAACGTGTTGATCTCTGAGATGATAGAGAAGTAAATAAATGTGAAGCGCGTGAGTGTGAGTACATCTTAAATACATTAAAACATTATGAACGTGTTTTGATGTAAAAACAAAGTATTTTCTCTTTATTTCACAAAATCTGCGTCTCTTAATAGTTCTAGAAACTGTAGTTTTCTAAAGACCTGAAATCTTTAATAATGAGAAACTAACAGTACGCTACCACAGTAAAAACAATAATACATTGTGCTATATACTTAAACAACATATTAGTACTGTTTTTTAATGTTTTAGTTTATTTAGTGTTTTTAAATTAGGTGTAAATACTTGTCTTTTTTTATAATGTTCACCAGTTATTTTTGATATTTTCTTTTATAATAGTTATCTTACGTTAAAAAAGTGTTCACCCTTTAATTTGAGTTTGCCCTTGTGTGTATTTGTACTGTGTCTTATATAGCAAAAAATGCATGTTCATGTGCACCTATATATTTATATTGTGTGTGTGTGTGTGTGTGTGTGTGTGTGTGTGTGTGTGTGTGTGTGTGTGTGTGTGTGTGTGTGTGTGTATTAATGATCTCCTTCTTCGTCTTCCTGCAGAGTCCTATGACTGGAACACATCACAGACGTACGATAAGCGCCGCTAACCTCATCGGAAACTCCCCCAAAAATCCAGACGCTGCTTTTGTTTTTTCTCCAGACTGTGTGTAGCTGTTAGCCGGATAAAAAAAGATTCTGTTTCCACATCGTAGTGACGTAGCAGTGCTGTACCTGTGCCAGTTTCTTTAAATGAGGAGGGGGATTCTCGATGTTAGCATTACCTGCCATCCTGTTGTTGTGGCGCATCAAAGCTAAAGGCTGAATGGCTGAAGACTGCACTGCCAGTCACTGTAATAGTGCCTCATCTCTGTTTTCACTGATTGTTCTTTAACTCAACACACTCTTTTTAAAGGGCCTCCACCTGGACACATGGTGTGTGATATGACCTGTGTGTGACAAATATTAAAATTATTTTCTTTACTTGTTCAAATCCAGCCTGCAGCGCGTGATTCCTTGTGAGAAAATAACTTGTTTTTAAAATATGGTGTAACAGCGCCCTCTGGTGGCGAAAGGTGGATTTATTTTAGCAGAAATTAGAATAACAACAGCGACAAAAAGGAGAATATTTGCAGGTTTTACTTTGTACACTTCCTGTAGATTACTTTTAATGTTCAACACTTCAATTATGAATATGTTTAGATTACATTTCTTATTTTTCTTTCTTATTCAATTATCTGGAAATATAATTTAATGTGTTGGCAAATCCCCAAAACAGCAACAATTAGTAGGAGAGTAAATGGAATGTAATTGCATTATATTTCCAGGTTTGACTTTGTCCAGTTCCTGTAGATGACTGGTTTACCTTCACCCTACAGCGCGTGATCCCTTGGTGTAAAACAATAACCTGCTTTAAAATGCGGTCTAACAGCGCCCTCTGGTGGCCGGTATGATCATCACATCTGTGGCAAAAAGTGGATTTATTTGAGCATACATTTGAATAAAACAGTGACAAAAAGTAGAATTACAGATATGTTCAGGTTTTACTTTGTCCACTTCCTTTAGGTTACTTTTCAACACTTAAATGATGAATATGTTTAGATTACATTTCTTATTCTTCAGTCTTATTCAATTAAATGACTAAAACAATTATTATAGGGTAAAAAATGACTGCATTTAAAATAAATAAATAATAATGAATGAAATCCATTAAAGCCGCCTCTTTTTCAAACTAACAATCATCACATTTTCCTCGTAATTGTATGCTTCTATGGTCATTGGATTGCATTTTATTTGCAGGTTCTACTTTGTCCACTTCCTGTATATAACTGAAGCCAGAATGACAATACCCAAATATGAACACGTCTTCGTCCACTTCCAATAACCGGCTTTCAAATAAGGTGTAACAGCGCCCTCTGGTGGCACAACATGGCAGCACATCTGTGACAAAAAGGTGGATTTATTTGAGTAGAAATTAGAATAAAACAGCAAAATAAGTAGAATTAAAGTCAGATACATAATAATAATAATAATGTGAGAAAGTGACTGCACTAAAAACAAATATGTATTAATAATGAATTATATTCAATAAAACAGCCTTGCAATAAACAGATTGAAGCCAACTCAAATAAAAAAATGTAATGCTTAAATGGTGATTAAATTGCATTTTATTTCCAGATTTCACTTTGTCCACTTCCTGAAGCCAGTGTCAATGACAACACCCACATGTGAACACGTCTACCCATGAAAAACTACAAAGAGGTTCTTTACAGACATCATAAAACATACTAGTCGATAGAGCAGATAGAGCAGCCGTGATTATAAAAACTAAAACCCAAATAAAAACATGAGAAAATATCAGATTATCTAGTTTCCACATTTTAGTTAGCTTCAAGTCTACTTTTGATTTCCAGATTGTAACCCTAACCTCTAAATGCTGAAACTATGATCTGCAGAATGAGAATATGAAGCTGCTCTCAAAACGGAGACACATCCTGCTGATTTAAATCAAAGGAGGAAAAATATACGACACCAGGCACCAGGTGATTTGGTGGTTATCGATATACAGTATATATAGATCTATATTGATTTCTGAGTCATGGTGTGTGAGATTTAGTTTCTTGTTGGTCTGTTTTGAGTTGTTAGGACACTGAGTCTTTCCATGTTTTTATTTTGAAGGCGACACCAGAGGCCTGTACTACGAAGCTGGTTCAACCTAACCTGTTTGAGTTAGCCGGTTGGCCCAATCCAAAACATACGCGCTCTGGCTAAGCTGTACTACGACGCTGGTTATCAAGTGGATCGCTCAAGCCAGCCGTGTCCTATCTAGTTAGGTGCGCGTTCACATGAAAGGGGTGGTATTTGGAGCATTCGACCAATCACAAACACGGACAAGCGTACTGACAGCGCAGCGTCATACTTCCTGAATGAAAAGTGAACTTTAATATTAGTCAAATATGAAGAAGTTAAACTTTAAACATCCATGACTTAAACACTTTATCCAGGATAAAAGCCACATAGCTGCACCTGCAAGGTGAATACAGCTGGTAACAGAAAAAGTGTTTGAATGCGTACATTAACAGGTTTATGAAATCACTGCCCCGTCTAAGACACGAGTGGATCTGACTTTAATTACATTTGACTCGAGTGTTTCGTCAACTTAATGTGTTGCTTAAAATAATACTTCTGCATACAGTATGTGACACTGTGAGTGTTGCACGGCCAGATACGGCTCAGCTGACTCAGATAAGGAAATATATGATACATTATGATGTGATATGATATGAATGATAATGGGACACATCGACGTCTGCACTCACAGTGCCGCGGACTGTACTTAATGTTACTCTGATCCGGTTACTTATGTTGTGGCAGATATTAAAGTAAGCTTTCTTAACGCTAATGTTATAATAGTCAGATTGCTCTGAAGATGGGAGGGGATATTCTATTAATTTTCACGTTCACACAGTCAGTTGATTTTTGCCGGCCGTCTTTCCTGCAACGGCAGTTTTTCTGTATTTCCTCTATCCTGTAATATGACTTGATAAACTCCGCACACGGAGCTCTGATTGGTCAGCAGGCGGTGCTTTCACTGAGTTGATCTCTTAGCCTGCAACCTAACCCCCTCCCGAGGAGGTTAGCCGCTCAGCATAAGTTACCATGGAGATCTAGCCCGCTAAAAAGAGAACCAGTGTCGTAGGACCGGAAAGCCCGAGTTTTCCCTGAAGTCAGCCGGCTAAGCGAAAATCCGGCTTCGTAGTACAGGCCTCTGGTGCTTTGGTGTTTATTGGTGTATATATTAATTTCTGAGTTTCCTGTGATTACGTTGTTGGTCTGCTTTGAGTTGTTCGGACACACTGAGTCAGAAGTAGGGTCCTCTCACTGATCCTCCTTCTCGGGGGTGTAGAAGGCGAGGGTGCGTGCGGAGGGGTCGCTGCTCTGCGTCCAGCGGGGGAGCCAGTAGTGAGGGAGCCACTGGGATCGACCCGGGAATTGCTGCTCGAACACCTGACGGAAATAAAAGGCCTCTTTGGAGTGGGGGGGATTGTGAGGAAACGTCTGGGAGGCTTTTTCCATCTCATCGTCGTTCACCTGAGAGGAGGACAACAACAACAACGATCAATAAACACACTAAACAAAGTATAAACATTACAGGCTGGTTCTTTATATGTTAGAATAATACATATTTATAATTCTGTTTTCATACCTTTAATGGTTATTGGAAAAAATACAAGCTTTTGCTCAATAATAATATAAATAATAATAAAAATAAAAATAAATAATACATTAAAAATCATAATAATATTAAAGGTGGGGTAGGTAAGTTTGAGAAACCGGCTCGAGATACACTTTTTGTTATATTCCATGGAATGCTCTTAACATCCTGATAGCAATGAATATCTGAAGTGCTTTGACCAAAAATCCATAAAGAAACGTCATCTGTGGAAGCTGTAGTACTGTAAAAAGCACGACCAATCATCTGAGCCGGCCCGGCTAAAATAACTGGATGGCCTACCTGCCTGTCAGCCTTCCATCTGTGCACAAACTTATCTCGTGCCCTCATTGGTCATGTGCGCATTCGTGTGTGTTGGAGGAGGGGCTCTGTAAGGAAGTGGCAGATTTTTTCCGGCTGTGGGTGTTTCTCAATGTCGAGTACGCTTGCTTGGTAGCACATGTCTGCCGAGCATCTTGCTTCAGAAGCGAGTCAAGAATACTTCCTGGCATTCGGAAAACGAAGAGTGGAACACGCTAGCAAGTGTGCAGGTGTGTGTCATATGAGAGGCCCCGCCTTACATCTTCCGCCACAGATTTGGGGAAATTGGTCCGTGCGCAAAGCATTGTGGGGATTTTAAGACCGCAGAGTCTACTCATGTGCAGCCTCGATATTTCTCCAAACGGAGTACGCCGGGCTCGGTAGATTTCCAAGTATGCTGGAGATTGGAAAAGTACTTCGGCGGCACTCGATGACGTAGTATGCTTGAAATAGTGGCTCTGAAGCAGCTTTACTCGCGATTGAGAAACACCCTGTGTATTTTCAAATGTTAGCGATCTCGAGCTGGTTTCTCCAAAATTACCTACCCCACCTTTAATTTAAAAAATCTTAATAATAATGATTAAAATAATAATAATAAAATATAATTACTAATACAAAAATAACAAAAAAATGGTTATAATAATACAAAATAAAATTAAAATAATAATAATATTGCATTCTTAATAACAAAAAAAGATAATAAAAGTGTTTATGTAAAAGTTGTAATAAAAATAAGAATAATTAAAAAAATAAGAATAAAAAATGCCATGAAATTGCCATATTTTCTGATTTGGTTATTGTAAAATTCAACAGTAATTAGTGTATGTAACAGTCACAAACAAATAAAACAACAAGCTGTATGCACGCAATAAATATTTGAATGATTGTAATTTTTTTATCTGAACTGTGTTTCTCCCAACATCAGACATTTATTCTCCCAGCTAAATGTAAAATGTAAAAGTCTCGTACCATGGCCTCCAGGTGCTCCTGCAGACAGACGTACCACGACTTCTTCACGGACATCATGCCGTCACTGAAGGCCTCTTTACGCCTCCACAGGATCTCATCTGGGATCAGATCCAGGTCTCTGAACGAGTCCCTCAGGAGGTGCTTCTCCACCCCGTGCTGCACAAGAGGAACAAGAGAAGATATGTCTTTTATTAGTCCATTTATTAAACATGTTAGAAACAAAACAAACAATAACAATAATAATAATAATAATAATAATAATAATAATAATAATAACAACAAAGAGAAGCAAAATATTAAAAAAAACGTTCAAGGTATAAAAATATAAATGTTCCAATAGTTCCTGTCATGTTCAAAAGGGGCGAGAAGAAGAAGCTTAAACACGTTTCTGGTCCTCCTCTAGCGTACATTGTTCATGCAAATCAAAGATTAGGTCATCAAAGGCTAAACAAATCAATTCTTTACAAAACAACCAAAAACAAATAACTTTCACAGCGACAAGAAAGATCCAGCATGAGTTCACCGGTCCTGCTCAGAACATTCAGGATCTGGTTTCTAAATAAGAGTTTTAGTTTAGATAAAGTTTCACAGCTCATTATTACAGTTATTCCACAGATCAACACCTTCTATTGATCTGTTGATCTGTTGATCTGTTGATCTGTTGATCTGTTGATCGATTGATCTGTTGATCTGTTGATCTGTTGATCTATTGATCTGTTGATCTGTTGATCTGTTGATCTGTTGATCTGTTGATCTATTGATCTGTTGATCTGTTGATATATTGATCTGTTGATCTGTTGATCTGTTGATCTGCAGTGAAGTCTGGCATTTTGTAAAACACAGTTTCCTCTCAACAGGTGTGTGTTTTTCTCTCCGTGTGAAAAGTCCCTTGACATTATGAGGTCATTGTAAGATAAGATAAGATAAGATAAGATAAGATAAGATAAGATAAGATAAGATAAGATAAGATAAGATAAGATAAGATAAGATAAGATAAGATAAGATAAGATAAGATAAGATAAGAAGTCATTTATTGATCCCAATGTGTGAAATGTCTGCGTTGCAGCAGCATAAAAAGACAAGGCATTACATGAGAGAAATTAACAGACTAGAAATAATAAATAATAATACAATTAATAATAGAATATAATTAGTAATTCAAAACAATCCAAAATGTCAACATCTCAAATTGAAATAAAATAGCGTTAAAAAAATTAGAAATGTACATGTGGAAATACACATGTACATTAACACAATATAAAGCAGGATATTATAAATGCATTAATTGTGCGAGGAATGGATTATTAAATAATAGATTGGATATAATTGTGTGCATTACATGAATGCACAACAATATTTTGTATTACAGCTGATTTTTATTCCATATTTTATTCCTTCTATTCCATTACAATGTAAATACTGTTATATTTCACTATATTTGTAATTATTTTTTATATTTTTCTAGTTCTCTATCTGTGTTTTAATTCTTGTTTTTATGCACCACGACATCAAGTCAAATTCCTCGTACGTGTAAACCTACCTGGTGATGAACCTGAGCAGAGAGTTCTCCTCCACACATTCATACATCATTAATAATAAAGAGCTCCTGTGCTTTTCAAAGATGAACAGGTGAGTGTTTGGACGTAGAAACAGACCTTAGGAACCTTCATGTCGTCGGGCAGAGAAAGAAAGTACGCTGTGAGACGATGATCCAGGAACGGCACTCTGAGCTCCAGACTGAGGAGGACACATGACATTAGATTAAAAGTGACCCTTAAATCCAACATCTCTACGCTTTAAATTAAATACAAACAACTTATACAAAGACATCACTCTTTAGGAACTGGGATGGAGATGTTTTTGTTCTGTTTTCTGACATTTAAAACATTAAATGGATGTAGAAAATATGAGACTTATCAATAATGAAAACAGTCGTTAGTTGCCGCTCTATCCGTACCGATCAGTTTGAAATCTGATACCTTATTTGCTTTGATGGGTTTCATTAGTGCAGATATTAAGGCTCATTATTACATGGCTTAGTTGAATACTCGATTCTGATTGGTCAATTCAGAACACGTGACACGTTGTTAATCCAGAACAGACAGACCGCTGTCAAGCACTTATTGACCGTTGTTAAGGACGCTCACGTCTGCAGAAAGAAGTCCGGTCGATTGAACTGTAAACAGTTTGGCTGAAAAGCAAAGTGCATGCACATTTTCTAAATCTATAAAAGCATTTCAATTAATATTGGGAGTCATGTCGTTACTTTGTTGAGAATGTGGCCGTGTGATGAGCGGGATAATGTGCAGCGACTTGGTCATTATGGGGAAAAGAACACCCGACAGGCTGACCGCCTCGCTGCACATTATCCCGCTTATTAAGGTTTATTTTGCTTTAAAATATAATGCATTATTCATTTGGAGACTTTGACGTGTTCCTCTAACGAAGGATCTAATTGATCGTGTTTCAATTAAAGATGAAAGGCTGAAAGCTGGAGCTCGATATGATTTAGTGAAATGAGTGACGTCAGTCCATCGGGTGAAAGTAGAAAAGCAGAGATGGAGAGATGGAGCAATTAAAGAATAATAATTAGCACTAAAAGCCAGAAAGAGTCCTTTAAAAGTAATTCAATTTAGACGTGAAATGGAAAAAGAATCAGCTATTTTGTGTAAAATCAATTAATCATTAGTTTCATACAAAACAAACAAATAATTGCTTCTTTCAGATTTGTATAAATTAATAATAACAACATTCAATTAAAAATAATTATGCTAATAATAAAGAAATACATACAAATAATAACAAACAATTATAATAATAAATACAAAAGCAATACATAATAATAAAAAATAAATACAAAATAATAAGAAATAAATAACAAGAAGTTACCTGTGTTGTGTTCAAACATTAGAGTGTGTGTACAGCAGGTATTAGAGTGTGTGTACAGCAGGTATTCAAGTGTGTGTGCAGCAGGTATTAAAGTGTGTTACCTGTGTTGTATTAAAACATTAAAGTGTGTGTACAGCAGGTATTAAAGTGTGTTACCCGTGTTGTGTTAAAACATTAGAGTGTGTGTACAGCAGGTATTAGAGTGTGTGTACAGCAGGTATTCAAGTGTGTGTGCAGCAGGTATTAAAGTGTGTGTACAGCAGGTATTCAAGTGTGTGTACAGCAGGTATTAAAGTGTGTGTGCAGCAGGTATTAAAGTGTGTTACCTGTATTGTGTTTAAATCAGTAGAGGTGTGTGTGTTGTGTTACCCGTGAGCAGCGGTGGTCCGGTCCGCTCTCAGGACGTCGAACAGGTAAAGCTCCTTCATCAGACGGAGGCTTTCCTCTGCAGACGCTCGGGGAGACGGAGCCTGGAGGAGGAACACATCAATACAAAGTATAAGAACACTTCCTCACATACATCTGTCTCACGGTGATTTAAAAAACACGTCTGCACAAACAGACTGTTGTGTTTCTGTAACTACCTCTATAACTACACAGGAGGAGTTATTTGAATATTCTAGTATATAGTCTGCGTGCAAACTGCTTCCAATAAAAACACTTCCTGACATGCAGGCATTACCTTTATCTCATGGTGATTTAAAACACATGTGTGCACAAACAGACTGTTGTGTTTCTGTTTCTGTTGATGCCAAAATAACGTCTTAATGCATTTGGTACCTTGGTCATGTCACTCTAAATAACTCTGCAGGAGTATTTATTGGAATATTCTAGTATATATTGTGCATGCAAAGTGCTTCACATTAAAGACTGTAAACACATTGCTTTTGGAGCAGTGACCTTGTGGAAGTAGAGGTATCCCTGAGTGAGTTCATCAGCTCCTTCTCCAGAGAAAATCACCACGCTGTCCGACTTCTCCCTGATGTACTTCGACACCAAGTACATCCCTGCACACACAAACACAAACACAGGCTTTAATACACAAATCAGAATATGAGTTTGCACATCCATCTTCTACCGCTTCTCCGAGTCAGGTTGCATATCTGAATACTAAACGGGCAAATAGAAGCCTCTGAACGATGGCTGCAATTAAGAGGAAACAGAGTTCATGATCGATTGCATTTCATTAGTTTAATTTAATTGCATTCACATAAGTGATAAAGGCTTTACATGACTAACAGATGTTCTGTTTCAACATAAAGGAACTCTACATTAACTAATACCATGGATTAATACTCATTTATAATATTAATATTAAATTGACAGATGACCGAATTAAAAAACTTTATGGTCGAATCTCTGCATGAAAATAATGAGTAAGATAATCACTGTGATAAAAAACTAGATGTACGAGGAGCTGTTTTTTTAATAAGTATTGGTAGTTATCTTTTTATTTGAATGTTAAATTGCCTGTAGCTCAGATTAACGAGAGTTTTTTAATAAGCAACCCCTCATTTAGAGGAATGAAAGGAGGCTAGCGATACGTCTGGTTTAATATATAAATAGTAAATCAATCAGTTGCCAAAATTGCCATGGAAAGAATATGGAAAAGTATATATAGGATTTATTTCTCTCCCCTAACGAGGTGTAGATTTAGGCGTTCAGAATGGACAGCCATGTTACCACCTACATCTTTCTGGTATAACACACTTTTGTATTTATTTTTTACTATGTTTCCCATCACTCACTGTTTGGAAAACACTGAATGTCCTCTTCCAACATGAGAGTAACATGATAACAAAGGTATCCCAACTGTAGCTGTGTACATGACAGGATGTGTGATTACCTAGAAGAGCATCAGGACTGTTTGAGGCATATGATAGCTATGTGATTAACATGATGATTCAGCCTCTATGGAGATAGACATATGACAAGCATGATCATTTCTGACGTGGAGCTAATCTCATTTCATTTCATTTCAAACCTTTATTTAACCAGATTGGTCCCATTGAGATCATGGATCTCTTTTTCAGGTTCCACATGGAACATAAAACAATAAAGGACATCATACATTATATTTACAGGATACATTTACATAGTTATAGACATTTACAAGTACCCATAGTATCAACGAGCATTTCATTTAGCCTAGCTTTAAAAACATGCAGAGGAATGAGATTGCTCAGTTTCAATTCTTGCTGAAGATTGTTCCAATCAAGTGGAGCTGCGCACATAAAAGCTGTTTTACCTAAGACAATCCTTGCTCTTGGCACATCTAACAATACTACATCATGCGATCTCAGACAATAGCTGCTTGCAACTCTCTGTGTTATCAGAGAGCAGATATAATACGGGAGTTTACCCAACAAAGCTTTATAAATAAACGTGTACCAATGACTGAGCCTCCGTACAGTAAGTGATGGCAGACCTGCCTTGGCATACAGGGTACAGTGATGTGTAAGTGCTTTACAATTTGTGACAAATCTCAGTGCGCTGTGATAGGCGGCATCTAACTTGTTCAGGCAATGGGCAGGTGCATTCATATACAACAAATCACCATAGTCCAGCACAGGTCAAAAGGTCACAGAGCCTTTTCCTGGCCTCAAGTGAGAAACAGGACTTGTTTCTGAAAAAGAAACCTAGTCTAACCCTCAGCTTTTTAAGCAGGTTATTGACCTGAAGTAAGACAATCATCAAGCCAGATACCAAGGTATTTATAACAGCTAACCACTTCTAGTACTTGTCCTTGCATAGTAACAATATCCAAAACAGTCTCTGGTGTCTTTTTAGCTTTAGAAAAGAGCATTACCTTGGTTTTATCAACATTTAAAAGAAGCTTAAGCTCAGAGAGCTGAGTCTGAATAATGTTAAAAACAGCCTGTAATTTAACACCAGCCTCCTTAATGGAGGGACCTGCACAGTACCGGTATCATCCGCATAAAAATGTAAAGTAGCTTCATCCACATTTTCACCTAAACTGTTGATATAGATGGAGAATAAAAGTGGACCTAAAACAGAACCTTGAGGAACACCATTAGCAATGTTTAACCACTCAGAAGTGAGCCCATCAAAGTGAACACATTGGGACCTTTCAGAGAGGTAGTTCACAAACCACCCCACTGCATGGCTGGATAAGCCAATACTGAGTAGCCTCTGCTTTAAGATGCGATGATCGACGGTATCAAACGCTTTGGAAAGGTCAATAAATAGAGCTGCACAACTCTGCTTATTATCTAAAATACTCGCCACATCATTCACCACTTTCATTGTGGCAGTGATGGTGCTATGTTGCTTTCTGAAGCCTGACTGATGTTTAGACAGGATGTCATGTTTACATAAAAACTCCTTTACTTGTTCACTCACTTGGCGTTCAAGAACCTTAGCCAGAACTGATAATTTAGAGATGGGCCTATAGTTATTTAAAATAGTTGCCTCCCCTCCTTTTAGCAAAGGCAGGACATAAGCTGACTTCCATACTTTAGGAATTGCATTTGTGCTGAGGGAGAGGTTAAAAAGAGAAGTGAGAGGTGGAGCAATAAAATCTGCAGCTATCTTTAAAAAGAAAGGTTCTACGTTGTCCGGGCCGGCCGGTTTCTTAGGATCTAACTTAGATAATGCTTCATGAACAACATTTACAGTAAAAGGAGTAAAACTGAAAGGGTTTTCCAGACCACATTGTTCAGAGTCACAGACTGTGGTGTTCACAGAAGCAGAGTTAGTGACAGAATCAAACAGAGAGCCACAGGACACAAAATGCTCATTAAAGCAATTGAACATGGTGGCCCTGTCCGATATAGAGCCAGATGCTGTGGTAAGGCACGGAGGTAGCTCATTACGGATATCACCGGTGGATAACGATTTTATGGCTTTCCAACATTTCCTAGGATTATTTAGGTTTTCTGTGGTAACTGACAAATAGTACTTCGACTTAGCACTTTTGACCTGTGAAGTGAAGCTATTCCTTAGCTGCCTAAAACGCAGCCATTCTACCTCTGAGCCTGATTTCCTAGCCTTTGCCCAGGCCTTGTTTCTCTCATGCAGGAGACTGGACAGTTCAGCAGGAAACCAAGGATTGTCTCGTCCCTTTACTCTAAATGTACGTAGGGGTGCATGTCTATCAATGATCTCCATAAAACCAAGATACAAATAAGACCATGCAGTTTCAACATCAGCACACAGATCGATTTTTCCCCAATCAAACCCAAACAGATCATGAACAAAACCCTGCTCCACAAAATGTTTTATGTCTCTCTTAATAATAATACGAGGTTTAACCTTTTGGACCTTAGTGTCCCTAATTGTGGCTACAGCACAGTGGTCACTCACATCATTCGCAAATACTCCCACAGATGAGTATTTATAGGGAACATTAGTTAGAATGAGATCAATTAGGGAGGATTTATTAGGGGACTTAATGTTAGGGCGAGTAGGACTGTCAACAATCTGAGTAACATTCAGAGAGATACAAAGGTTTTTAAAATCCTCTGATACTGCAGTTAACCAGTCCCAGTTCAAATCTCCAAGTAGCACTATTTCCTTGTAGTCAAGTTGAGATAAAAGATTTGCTAGTGAAGACAAGGAGTCCTTGACAGCTGAGGGGGGTCTGTAACAGCCCACCACCATGACCTGTTGACCCTTTGCCACTTCTATATTTAAGGCTAAACATTTGAATTGCTTACTGATAGATTTGGAAACTAATGTGGTTACACTGAACTTATTCTTAACATAAATGGCAACGCCACCACCTTTATTAGGCCGGTCGGAGCGATACACATTATAACCATTTAAGGCAATGTCAGAGGCCAAAATAGATTTATTTAGCCAAGTTTCTGATAAAACAATGACGTCAGCGTCAGTCGAGCTTGCCCAAATGCGGACAAAATCTAGTTTACCTAACAGACTGCGCACATTCAAGTGGATGAAACCCAACCCAGACCTAGCTTTAAAATCAGCAGGAGTAGCGATCTGACTACTACTACTGGGCGGACCAGGGTTAGGGTGAACATTTCCTGACAGTAATAAATCCTTGACAGCGGTCTGTCTGTTCTGGATTAACAACGTGTCACGTGTTCTGAATTGACCAATCAGAATCGAGTATTCAACTAAACCATGTAATAATCTTAATTAATGTGTGTGTTTTTATTTTAAACTATGGTTTTAGTTACTCTCAAGTATTCTGTTAAAAAAACTGCTCATTAACTTTCTGTAATAGCTCATTAATAAAAAGTATGCACACATTTAGAGCACAACCATTGACCAATTCTTAATTCATATTGTGTATTTAACATTTCGGCTCACACGTGAACCACTAAGTATCATTTAAAATGAGAGAAATGTTAGCAGGAATCACTCACGTGCAATCTCCGCCCGCCATGTGGTGGAAGAAAATACAATTATTTGACATTAAATGTTAATAAGTGAAGGTTTTTCTTCTGCCGAATTATTACATTTAATGTGTTTATTAATTGGACATTGGTAACCATGTTGTTAGATGTTTATGTCTTTCGTTATAGCTAATACAATATTAAAAAGGTCGGATCTTGAATGGAGTTTGGTTTAAGGTGCTCTGGACAGCGAACATTTATTGTAAAGTAGGTGGAAGGAAAATTAACCTATTTGACATTAAATGGTAAAAAGTTAAGATTTTCTCTCTGCCGAATTGATAAATATCATGTATCATTTAATGAGAGATCGATAACTACGTTGTTGGATGTGTATTTATTTCGTTATAGCTGATGCAATCTCAAAAAGGTGGGATTTTGAATGGGGTTTGGTGTAAGGTGCTCTGGACACAATACAGCTCACATTTATTGTAAAGTAGGTGGAAGAAAAGGAATCTAACATTATTTCATATAATATCATTTATATTTTTTCTGTGCCGAATTGAAAAAGACAATGTATTATTTAATGAGAGATCGATAACCATGTTGTTAGATGATTATTTATTTTGTTATAGCTGATTTTGAATGGAGTTTGGTGTAAGTTGCTCTGGACACATTTATTGTATCGTAAGCTGAATGATTGTCCCAGACAGTCAGTCTGGCTCCACCATTCATTCCGCTTCACAGGTTTATTTAAATAAAGCCAAAGCTCACAGACTGCTGACCCTGAGACTCAGCAGATGACACCTTTCAGGCCATATGTGAACTTTCTCACCAGGAAAACCGATGGAAAAGAATACTTTACCTAAGATAAAACACCAATACATTAATGTCAAAAATACTCCATTAAAACTCCTTAAATTCTCACGTAAGTAACAGTGCAGAAGTAGTTGCAAAATGTACTTAAAGTAAAAGTACTTATTCTGAAATGTCCTCCATTAGTTTAACATATGATTAATTATATGCCACCACCTTTATTAGGCCGGTCGGAGCGATACACATTATAACCATTTAAGGCAATGTCAGAGGCCAAAATAGATTTATTTAGCCAAGTTTCTGATAACACAATGACGTCAGCGTCAGTCGAGCTTGCCCAAATGCGGACAAAATCTAGTTTACCTAACAGACTGCGCACATTCAAGTGGATGAAACCCAACCCAGACCTAGCTTTAAAATCAGCAGGAGTAGCGATCTGACTACTACTACTGGGCGGACCAGGGTTAGGGTGAACATTTCCTGACAGTAATAACAACAACAAAACCAGGCATCTTTTCCTCTTAAACGACACACACACATTATCATCTACTTTAGAATCACCGGAAAAGTCTGAACTAAACATTGAATACTGCTTTCTATTCCTCCATCTTGTGACTGTGTAACTCCCTCTCTTGGATATCAGCATGTGAAGGACACTGTTCAGGAACTAGTTGATGCTCTGTATGTGATGACTACTTCCATTCTGGAGAGGATCACAAATACATGGATCCTGAGATTGAAGCTCAAGCCGGGGACCAGTGAGATTATTCGAACACTCACCGACGGAGGCTCGTACGGTGGTGATGTCGTACGTCTCCAGGTGGAAGATCACGTCCTCCACCGCCTGGATCCCGTCCTCCGCGCTGAAGTTCACCTCGTGGTGCTCGCTGCCGATGTGAGCGGCAACCTGAGGGAAACAGAAAGAAATAAACAATTACTAAAAACACTGCTGAGAGAGACAGGGATTTTAGCCTTTGCAGACCATTTACATGCACTAAAACCTAAAGAACACACTACAGGAGAGGGAAAACACCAAAAAGCAGAATTGGAACTCTTTAAAAGACCTATTATGCAAAATGCACTTTTTGATGTCTTTTATACATAACCATGTGTCCCCGGTGTGTCCCCGGTGTGTCCCCGGTGTGTCCCCGGTGTGTCAGGGAACTCACAAAGTGTCAGAAAATAAAACCCTCTCTCTTTTCCTCCGTACCCATATCTCTAAAAAGATTAAAAAAAACTCCTATGACGTCATTGGCGACGTATAAACGTATAAATATACCTTATATAGGTATGGCCCTACAATATATCATTTAAATATAGCATGATAGGTTTCCTTTAAGAAAGAACATGTCAAGCTATGTGCTGTATCAGAAACAATGCGCAACGTGTTTTGGGAGTAATATGCTCTGTGTTTACATTAGCAAGCATGCTAACACTCAGAGCTAACGCTGTAGGCTACTGCAGAGAATATGTGTAACGTAATGTCCTAGTGGTAAACCCTGCGAGAGAGAAACGTTTGAGCTCCATACTGTTTCAGAAATAATGCTTGAAGTGGTTAGGAGCATAATATGGCATTTAATCACCGCAGCGTTTAGCTGATGTGAACCTTTATAAAGCCTGTCTGTATGTTCCTGACCTTTCGAGCAGCGAGGATGTCCGGACTGTCCTCTGATCCGATGGAGAAAGTCTGGATTTTATACGGCAGCTTCTCCTCTTTAGCCAGCTTCACCAGAGTGGCTGCAACCAGACTGGAGTCCAGCCCACCTGTCAATCAACACAGAGCTGTCAATCAACACAGAGCTGATTGTATAGCTCCTCCACCAACAGCAGTTAGCCTCCAGACAGCATTAGGGCGCGTCACCCGGGTAAATATGCCTACTGTTTATGTTTTAAGAAATCTAATGGTATGATTTCACCTGACAGCAGACAGCCGATCCTCCTCTGAGCCATGAGGCGTTTCTTCACTGCGTTCTCAAACAGAGTCCTGATGTTGCTCTTCACCGTTTCCTCGTCAAAACCTGCGAAGAAACATCAGTTTTATACTAAATCATTCATGCAAAATGCTTCCTAAATCGAACCAACGCTAGATAATATAAATAAATGGCTCTGTGTTGGGACGCCTGGGACGCTTCAGCTGTTCATGTGATAATAACATCTTTAAATCTGATTTCTCCACCTGATGGCAGCGTCTCCAGCGAGTCGCAGACAGCGTGCTCGGGCTCGTCGGTGCAGCAGTGAAACGCCTCCATCTGAACGGAGCAAACCTTCCCGTTCTGCATCAGGTCGAACTCCTCGAAGTGTCCCGGGAGGACCGGTTCGATGCTGGCAGGAGACGGCATGGCGTGAGTGATCTCTGTGAGGCCTGGGAGCAAAAGAACAACAGAGAGTTATCAGAAAGATGTAGTATGAGTACTGTCTCTCTGATCTTTTTTATTAGATATATAAATTCTCTGGAGAACATGACGCCCGTAAACGAGATGTCTCCTGACGTTAACAACAACGTGACGTTAACAACAACGTGACGTTAACAACAACGTGACGTAAACAACAACGTGACGTCGGAGCTCCGTAAAAACAAAGCAGTCTCTGCCGTCTGACGCTCTGTTTGATTCTCATATCTCTGGAGGAGTTATACCGTTTCTGAGGAACAGAAATATTGTTTTCTGGAATCACTCTGCTCTTTGGTTTGAGGGCGCAGCGCTCCTGTTACCCGGTGCAGGAGCTCAATCCCAGCGATAATCAGAAAACAAAACACACTGGCATTGGGATATATTTTTTATAAATCCTCTGGAGCAGAGAGAGGAGCTGTGGATTATTATTATTGATTAATGCATCATTGTTTCTTAGGGTCAAAAACACTAAACTCACAACTTAAAATGAAAGCATTTAGTTTATTTAATAAAAGAGCACATGTTCAATGTGAAAAGTGACAGTAGATATAGATTAGTTGCAATTTGGTGCTATATATATATATAAATAAATATATATTAAAAAAAAAGAAATTATAATTTTTTATTTTAAACACCTTGGATTTCAGGCGGGGCGCGGGGCTCCGTTGGCGGGGCGCGGGGCTCCGTTGGCGGGGCGCAGCGCCCCTCCAAGACAATGGTAGGGGAAACACTGCCTTGCTATGTCATACGTATGATGTATCTTTATTAGCGTTCCCAGTACTGTAAGCCTTTATGTTGCAATGTTTTTACTGATTGTATTTACTTGTTATTTTAAATAAAATTGTTTTTTAGGGTGACCTATAACATCTGTCCGGGGACTACAGATGAAAAACAGCCTCTTGGCACATTTACAGACATGTGTATTAATGTACACTGACCCTGTCACATAAATAAATACAATAAATACAAATAAAGGCCCCAGATCTACGGTACCTTTGGCCTCTGAGCAGAGAGCCAGGAACCCGTCGTCTGTGCTCAGTTTGAAGAGCGGCCTCACTCCGTACGTGTCTCTCCCCACAAACAACTTGTTCCTCTGGGTGTCCAGCAGGATGAAGGCAAACACCCCGTCCAGCAGCGCCGCCATCTTCCTGATCCCAAAGCGGTCGTACAGGTGCAGCAGAACCTCCCCGTCCCCCGCCGTCTGGGGCTCGAAGTCAAACTGCTTCTCCAGCTGCAGGGACACATGGACATATATATATTTATATCACCTTTGCATGCATGCTGATATCTCTCTGTCAATATCTCCCTGTTGTAGTACAGCCACAGGAAGGGGAACCTCTTGATGCATGTTTGTAATACTTTATAGTGTGTGTATTATCCGTGTTTACTATGTGTTGCTCCGTCTGACAGCTGCCGTATAAATCCCTGTTCACTTTATACTGACCGTGAGGTGGTTGTAGATCTCTCCGTTGTAGACCAGCCACAGGAAGGGGAACTTCTTGATGCGCAGCGGCTGCATGCCGTACAGCTGGTCCACCACGGCCAGCCAGTGGAACCCGAAGCAGCAGTTTGTGAAGCCTTTAACGTTCTCGAAGCGGAAAGCGTCGGGGCCGCGGTGAGCGATCCTCATGGCGCTGGTGACCTGCACCGAGAGGCACTCATCGTTGCCGAACAACGCCCAGATACCACACATCTCTGCAGGGGAGGGACAACAGGAAGAGAGGGTCTGTTAGTGAGCAGATTCAAGCCCAGATACCACACATAACATTAAGACAAAAGAAACAAACACAAAAAAAGACAATTCATGAAAGCGATAAAATAATGGTTGCAGCTAAAAGGATCTGAAGAGGGGCTATTAGTGAGGAGTAAAATACATATAATCTAAACATTAAAAAATATATATAAAACAGTGAAGTGTCGATGCCTCTTTTTTATTAACGTAATTTTATATATTGTAAATATATTTTTGTGTTTTTTTAAAACTTTTAGTGTTTTTTCAGATGTTTAAGTGTTTAGTTAAATGTTAACAATGTTTTAAAGATGTTTTAGTTTCTTATTTTATTGAAATGTTTTGTGGTTTAAAAAAATGGTTTAGTGGTTTAGTGTAAGTGTTTGATTTAATGTTGAAGTGTTTTAAGATGTGTAAAATGCTTTATTGATTTCTTTTAAAACGCTGTGTTTTAACCTTCAGGGCCACTTTATAAAAATGCCCTAAAACCGCTCTGAACCAAATGTCTAAATAAAGTTGTTTACCCACTAAAGAGTTAACAGTGTGTTTGTTTCCTCTGCTCCAAAAGGGTTGAGCTCACAGAGAAACCCTGTTCCCTCTTTCTAAAGGCGGAGGATTTGTTTCCCAGCTGCTTTTAAAGAAGTGTTTCCCAGCCGTTTAAAGAGAAAGGACTGAGGGTCGTGTTACATTACTGACCTAGAAATGATTCCCACTGTCCCTGAACACATCACCGCTATTATACTACCCATCAGATGGACTTTCTGTTAATTGCAGTCAGGCCTACATTTGGCTCGTTATCTAGTGAAGTAAACCTGATGTCCCACATTTGGGCAGCCCTGCTTAAGAGGACATTTTTTGTAATAATGTGTTTATTTTTATCATCATGCACTAAACTAAGTTCCTGTGCTCTCTTAGGTCCTTACACTGGCTTCCTATCTGTCTAAGAACTGATTTCACAATATTATTTATTGCAAAATGTCCGCAGTGTTAAGATTATAAATAGTGTTTAAATTAAATATAAATACAAATATTTAAATATAATAATTCATTATAATGGTTCCAAAATGTATAAAGAACATTTTTTATTTACAAAAATAAAACACTGATTTATATTATAATTATTTTTAATTGTTTTATTTGGCTAGAAACATTTAAAGGTTAATATGCTGCCAGCCTTGCTACAGAAATGATATAATTAATCATATGTTAAACTAAATATAACTTATGGAGGACATTTCAGAATAAGTACTTTTACTTTAAGTACATTTTGCAACTACTTCTGCACTGTTACTTACGTGAGAATTTAAGGAGTTTTAATGGAGTATTTTTGACATTAATGTATTGGTGTTTTATCTTAGGTAAAGTATTCTTTTCCATCGGTTTTCCTGGTGAGAAAGTTCACATATGGCCTGAAAGGTGTCATCTGCTGAGTCTCAGGGTCAGCAGTCTGTGAGCTTTGGCTTTATTTAAATAAACCTGTGAAGCGGAATGAATGGTGGAGCCAGACTGACTGTCTGGGACAATCATTCAGCTTACGATACAATAAATGTGTCCAGAGCAACTTACACCAAACTCCATTCAAAATCAGCTATAACAAAATAAATAATCATCTAACAACATGGTTATCGATCTCTCATTAAATAATACATTGTCTTTTTCAATTCGGCACAGAAAAAATATAAATGATATTATATGAAATAATGTTAGATTCCTTTTCTTCCACCTACTTTACAATAAATGTGAGCTGTATTGTGTCCAGAGCACCTTACACCAAACCCCATTCAAAATCCCACCTTTTTGAGATTGCATCAGCTATAACGAAATAAATACACATCCAACAACGTAGTTATCGATCTCTCATTAAATGATACATGATATTTATCAATTCGGCAGAGAGAAAATCTTAACTTTTTACCATTTAATGTCAAATAGGTTAATTTTCCTTCCACCTACTTTACAATAAATGTTCGCTGTCCAGAGCACCTTAAACCAAACTCCATTCAAGATCCGACCTTTTTAATATTGTATTAGCTATAACGAAAGAAATAAACATCTAACAACATGGTTACCAATGTCCAATTAATAAACACATTAAATGTAATAATTCGGCAGAAGAAAAACCTTCACTTATTAACATTTAATGTCAAATAATTGTATTTTCTTCCACCACATGGCGGGCGGAGATTGCACGTGAGTGATTCCTGCTAAGATTTCTCTCATTTTAAATTATGCTTAGTGGTTCACGTGTGAGCCGAAATGTTAAATACACAATATGAATTAAGAATTGGTCAATGGTTGTGCTCTAAATGTGTGCATACTTTTTAGTAATGAGCTATTACAGAAAGTTAATGAGCAGTTTTTTAACAGAATACTTGAGAGTAACTAAAACCATAGTTTAAAATAAAAACACACACATTAATTAAGATTATTACATGGTTTAGTTGAATACTCGATTCTGATTGGTCAATTCAAAACACGTGACACGTTGTTAATCCAGAACAGACAGACCGCTGTCAAGGATTTATTACTGTCAGGAAATGTTCACCCTAACCCTGGTCCGCCCAGTAGTAGTAGTCAGATGGCTACTCCTGCTGATTTTAAAGCTAGGTCTGGGTTGGGTTTCATCCACTTGAATGTGCGCAGTCTGTTAGGTAAACTAGATTTTGTCCGCATTTGGGCAAGCTCGACTGACGCTGACGTCATTGTTTTATCAGAAACTTGGCTAAATAAATCTATTTTGGCCTCTGACATTGCCTTAAATGGTTATAATGTGTATCGTACCGACCGGCCTAATAAAGGTGGTGGCGTTGCCATTTATGTTAAGAATAAGTTCAGTGTAACCACATTAGTTTCCAAATCTATCAGTAAGCAATTCGAATTTTTAGCCTTAAATATAGAAGTGGCAAAGGGTCAACAGGTCATGGTGGTGGGCTGTTACAGACCCCCCTCAGCTGTCAAGGACTCCTTGTCTTCACTAGCAAATCTTTTATTTCAACTTGACTACAAGGAAATAGTGCTACTTGGAGATTTGAACTGGGACTGGTTAACTGCAGTATCAGAGGATTTTAAAAACCTTTGTATCTCTCTGAATGTTACTCAGATTGTTGACAGTCCTACTCGCCCTAACGTTAAGTCCCCTAATAAATCATCCCTAATTGATCTCATTCTAACTAATGTTCCCTATAAATACTCATCTGTGGGAGTATTTGCGAATGATGTGAGTGACCACTGTGCTGTAGACACAATTAGGGACACTAAGGTCCAAAAGGTTAAACCTCGTATTATCATTAAGAGAGACATAAAACATTTTGTGGAGCAGGGTTTTGTTCATGATCTGTTTGGGTTTGATTGGGGAAAAATCAATCTGTGTGCTGATGTTGAAACTGCATGGTCTTATTTGTATCTTGGTTTTATGGAGATCATTGATAGACATGCACCCCTACGTACATTTAGAGTAAAGGGACGAGACAATCCTTGGTTTCCTGCTGAACTGTCCAGTCTCCTGCATGAGAGAAACAAGGCCTGGGCAAAGGCTAGGAAATCAGGCTCAGAGGTAGAATGGCTGCGTTTTTAGGCAGCTAAGGAATAGCTTCACATCACATGTCAAAAGTGCTAAGTCGAAGTATTATCTGTCAGTTACCACAGAAAACCTAAATAATCCTTGGAAAGCCATAAAATCAATATCCACCGGTGAGATCCGTAATGAGCTACCTCCGTGCCTTACCACAGCATCTGGCTCTATATCGGACAGGGCCACCATGTTCAATTGCTTTAATGAGCATTTTGTGTCCTGTGGCTCTCTGTTTGATTCTGTCACTAACTCTGCTTCTGTGAACACCACAGTCTGTGACTCTGAACAATGTGGTCTGGAAAACTCTCTGAACTTAAGCTTCTTTTAAATGTTGATAAAACCAAGGTAATGCTTTTTTCAAAAGCTAAAAAGACACCAGAGCCTGTTTTAGATATTGTTACTATGCAAGGACAAGTACTAGAAGTGGTTGCCTGTTATAAATACCTTGGTATCTGGCTTGGTGATTGTCTTACTTTTAAACTTCATGTCAATAACCTGCTTAAAAAGCTGAGGGTTAGACTAGGTTTCTTTTTCAGAAACAAGTCCTGTTTCTCACTTGAGGCCAGGAAAAGGCTCTGTGACCTTTTGACCTGTGCTGGACTATGGTGATTTGTTGTATAGGAATGCACCTGCCCATTGCCTGAACAAGTTAGATGCCGCCTATCACAGCGCACTGAGATTTGTCACAAATTGTAAAGCACTTACACATCACTGTACCCTGTATTCCAAGGCAGGTCTGCCATCACTTACTGTACGGAGGCTCAGTCATTGGTACACGTTTATTTATAAAGCTTTGTTGGGTAAACTCCCGTATTATATCTGCTCTCTGATAACCAGTGGCGACTGGTCATTAGGGGCAGGTGGGGCACAGCCCCACCTAGTGTCAGCAGAAAGTATTACAAATAATGATTACAAAAATGCAAAAAAATAAATAAAAAAATATATAAAATATATTTTAAGATCATGTTTAATCATCTGATTCGTCTGTACATTTCTGTTTTAGTCTGTGTTCTTCTAATTAGTGTGTCTACAGTCACAGTGTGTGCCTATTGAGCTGTTTAGAGCCATGTGGGACAAAACCTGATTATGCCCCTTCCTCTCGCTGTGAAGTCAACGGTGACTGTAAAAACTTCACTGCGCATGCTCAGAGTATTTTGTAATGTAATGTGTGTGGCAAAAAAATAATGACCAGAGGGGCATGGAGCTACCATCCCCACCATATGTCATCTCAAATCATTCAGAGCTGATTGGCTGTAAGTACGTGTGCCGCGAAAAGTGTGCTGTGTGAAGAGGAGACGAGAGCTGCAGTGGCGCGTCCTAAAACCAGGAAGTAAGCACAAAAAAGCAATGAGATTTCTCCAGAGGATTTTAGAAAATAGCTCGAAATAAGATCTGTGGGAAACGTACCTGTTAGATAAATGCACGTTTTGATTAGCCGGATAACATCCACATGTCTACCCTACTTATATAATTTTTTTATCATAAATCTATGGATTAGATTTATGATAGACTTTTGAAACTACAAGAACATAAGGAGGACTTTTACAAAAAAGTAATAGAAATGTTTGTCCAGAAGGATAGGCAAATGGACTTCATCTTCAAGTCAAGGTAAGACCGCCATTTTATTGAAAATGGGATCTTACTAAGAGAGAACAATTCAATATTTAAATGATAAAATGAAATTTTTTGGGTATCCTTTTGTTGAACTGTCTGTTTAAAATTAATCGAAGCATCAGACAAAAAAAAGCTTTTGAAAATAATATTATATTTTGGTTTAGGTCAAAATATAATATTTGTAAACCTGAAGAGTCAGTGCCAGTGCCTCACCAGCCATGAACCTCACTGCACGTCACTGCAGAAGCTTATATATAGACATCTAAGTTTTTTGTGCCCCACCACTTTTGTACATATAAAAACGCCACTGCTGATAACACAGAGAGTTGCAAGCAGCTATTGTCTGAGATCGCATGATGTAGTATTGTTAGATGTGCCAAGAGCAAGGACTGTCTTAGGTAAAACAGCTTTTATGTGCGCAGCTCCACTTGATTGGAACAATCTTCAGCAAGAATTGAAATTGAGCAATCTCATTCCTCTGCATGTTTTTAAAGCTAGGCTAAATGAAATGCTCGTTGATACTATGGGTACTTGTAAATGTCTATAATATGTAAATGTATCCTGTAAATATAATGTATGATGTCCTTTATTGTTTTATGTTCCATGTGGAACCTATATGCTGCAGGTCTCCCTTGAAAAAGAGATCCATGATCTCAATGGGACCAATCTGGTTAAATAAAGGTTTGAAATGAAATGAAATGAATTGACCGTTGTTAAGAACGCTCACATATGCACAAACAAGTCCGTTCGATTTAACTGTATACAGTTTGGCTGAAAAGCAAACTGTAAAAAAAGCAGTTTGCTTTTCGAACTGACAAGACAAGAGCAACAAGAAAACGGAGAAGTAACGGGCAGAAACCCTCCTTTTTACGCAGCGGTCCAGACATAGACATCAAACGGCAAAACATATTCAGTTGCCAGTTATTTTGGCATTAGGGCAGGGATATCTAGATACTTTCCAAGGTTTGACATAATGAATTGTGCTACTTTTAAGCAAGCAACGATGTTTTCAAATCTGTAATCAAAAAGCTCCGCCTGCCTGTCGGGTGTTCTTTTCCCCATAATGACCGCCTCGCTGCACATTATCCCTTACACTTACCTTGTTTTTAACTGATTTCCGTAGACTTGATGAAGGCAGTGATCGTTTATGTTCTGATGCACTGACTCAGAGTGACAATTAACATCAGTACTGTACATCATCACCGGAGATCGCTCCTTCAAAATAAGAGCGGAGGATAAGATAAGATGGACCTTTATTCAGGAGTTAGAGCACCAACAGAGAGAGGGGAAAACAGGTCAGATTCACACAGCCTGTGAAGTACAAGATCTGAGGACTTCTACTGAAGTACAAGATCTGAGGACTTTTACTCAAGTACAAGATCTGAGTACTTTTACTAAAGTACAAGATCTGACTACTTCTACTTTAACTCAAGTACAATACCTGTGTACTTCTAACATGGTGTTTTATTTTGAAGGCTGGGTGAACAGAAGAGGCGGAAGTGATGTTCAGTAAACGTGAAGCCGCAACACGGAGTGCGGTTGCATCAGGCAGGGACCCAGTGGCGGCCGGTCCATAGGGGCGCTAGGGGCGCCGCCCCACCTCTTCCCATATTGAAAAAAATAAAAATAAATAATAATTAAAATTAAAATTAAAAAAAAAAATATGTTTAAAAAAATATATATGTTTTTATTTTTATTTTTAATGAACAAGGTAAATATTATATAATTGGTATCAGTAAAATGTATAATCTACAATAAAATCTCGTTTAAAATTGTGTTACGATGTCTAAAGTTACTGATAAGTCACATGTTTCCTGCCTGGCCTTGCCCATGGACCTTCTCTCGTCTGGGCGCTAAGAGAGGAGCCTTTAACCAGTGCAGCAGCAGCCACCAGCAGCTGACTGTTGCTATCTGTAACGTGTAAACTATGCCGCGAAAATATAATTTCAGCCAATCAGCGTCGTCAAAGATGACGGTCACCGGGCGCCAATGTCAGCGCCCAGTGCAGTCTGTGAGTAGTTTGGACAGTGACTCGTATCCGGTTGACGCAGTAGTTGATGAGGATGGCTTCGTGTGCAGGTGGAGTCTCCGGACCTCGGTCCGCGCCTAATTCTGTTCAAGAGCTAATCTCCAATCCTTTCGAAAGGAGAAGTTTGGCAGATAAATTGTTGCTTAAAGACCTTGCACCGGACCAACCCGATTTGAATATATCGCAGCAATCTCGTGAAAAAGACAACATTTATACACGAGGCTTCACAAGTAGCTGGTACACAAGAAAGGCTTGGCTAGCTGGATGCAAACAGGTAAATGCTGTCTTTTGTTTCCCATGCTTGGATATCACTTTATATGTAGAGAGGAGGTTTCCCATGGTTGTTAGAAGTTTATTAATAAGTGGGCATTTATCACAGAAGTGATTGTTCTGTCTCCACGTTTGTTGCATTGTCTGTGATGTATTTTCCAACGGTTATAGCTCCTGTTCTGTCCCAGCAACACTACACGGTTTGCAGCTCCACCACATTTTTGGTTTATCTTCGGTGTCGCTTAAAATCTGCTTCCCATCGGACTAAAACCTCCACGTAATCTGAAGACAGATACTTGAAGTTATTTAAACCTTTTGCAAACTTTATGTTCTTTCTTGCTCTAGCCTTGCCAGTTACATTGTACATAACACATATATTATCATTATGCTAACTGGTTGTTCGTGTTAGACGATGTAGCTTTTTCATTTCTGAGTTATTGCTATATGTAAATAAGCCTGTTTGTAAATAATCCTCAGAGAAACAAAGAAAAAACACAATTTATGACATTTTGTGCTGTGGTTATTTTTTTTAAATTGCATTTATTCACAGTTCAGTTTGAAATGCTGTAGTGACTTGTATTGAACCACTTAAATATTTATAATTAATGCTACTGAAAAGATGCTATTAATTTTATATCTCACATGCAGTTCACTGTAAAGCTACTTGGTGAAGGTGTTGGTTCATAAAACATGAACAGTTTTAAGAAAGAAAAAAACACCAGTTCTGAGAACACAAATTCCTGGTAAAGTAGTAGATGTTCAGGTTGATAAATAATATTTTCCACACTGAAGATTATGGAGGTATTGATCAGTCTTCTCATATTTTTAAGCCTCGATTTCTCCTTTCCCCCCCCCTCTAACATCACCAGAAGTCATCATTTAAGGGGTCATTTCTCGAAAAAAAATTCCGGGGGGAAACCCCCCGGACCCCCCGGGTAGGTCACTTACGATACGTCAAGAGCCCCACCAAAAAAAAAGACCACCGGCCGCCACTGCAGGGACCTCATTCAAATCAAATGTTAATTACTTAGTCTTAATAACACACTGTGGTAAATACACATAGGCAGGGATGCAAACTCATCAGGTATGAAAAAGGTGACAAGGATCCGAGCCCCCCGACCCCACGGAATATCGGCTTTAAAATGAGGAATAACAGAGGATTTTAGCAGTCAGAACAACTAAAGCAGCAGTTAGTAATAACAGAAACGCCAAAGAGTCACATCTAATAGAAATATATTTAAGCATTTATTTTAATTGTGTAGCAGTCAGTTTATAATTTTGGCAGGACTGTTGAGCATTTTGAAAATGTATTTTCATGCCTCTGTGCAAGGCTGTCTTTCTATCTTTATAGCCAGTGGTGTAAAGTAACTAAGTTCATAAACTCAAGTACTATACTTGGGTACAATTTTTAGATACTTGTACTTTATTTAAGTATTTCAATGTTTTGCTACTTTGTTCTTCTTCTCCTCTACAGTTCAGAGGTAAATTGTGTACTTTTACTCTACTACATGTATTGAATCCCTTTAGTTACTTCACAGATGTGGATGAATGATGTGAAATATAATCAAGTGTTAAATCAGACTTTAGTTCCACCTGGAGTAAATTCACAAGCTACCCTGCAGTATACAAAGTCATTCAAACTAGCTGCACCTTTACCAGCTTTGAGAACACTTTCATGATCAATCATTATAAAACATATCATATATATTATTCTGAAATGGACCAATCTGCACAATGACTACTTTTGCTGTTGCTACTTTAACTATATTTTGATGATAATACTTTTCTACTTTTACTTGAGGAACATTTTGAATGCAGGACTTTTACTGAAACAGAGTATTCCTACACTCTGGTACTTCTACTTTTACTCAAGTACAAGATCTGAGTACTTCTACTTTTACTCAAGAACAAGATCTGAGTACTTCTACTTTTACTCAAGTACAAGATCTGAGTACTTCTACTTTTACTCAAGAACAAGATCTGAGTACTTCTACTTTTACTCAAGTACAAGATACTTATACCACCTCCGTTTATAGGCTATGAAAGAAACTATTTGAAAACGAAGGCTAAAGCTAACGTTAGCAGATAGTGACATGCTAGTTAGCTAGCTCAACGATTCATTAAATAATATTGCGACAGAAACACTTTTCAGTGCACATCACGCTCTGCTGCTCCGAACACCCCGTTCTAACCAGCGGTCCAGTCTGTGCCACAGTGACTCTGGACCGCACAGTTAATATTAACGAACGCACCGTAGGTAATGTAGCTGCTGAAGCTAGACCCTCATCCCGGAGCAGCAGAGCCTTATTATACATCCATGAGCAGAGCTGACAGGCAGGAAGACTTGTGCTCGCGCTTCATTATAATATATAAAAAAAGAACACCATGCGTGTCATGATGGCACATAACAGCTCGCGGCCGCAGATTACTCCGGGTCCCAGACCCCCCCCATACCCCAAAAATATTTTTATTGCAGATCTACATGAATCACACAAACGACCTATTTTGGAATCAAAACGGTGAATTTCGCCGAAAGGTGACACGTTTGCATCCCTGCATAGGGTAATGACTCAATGCAAGAACACCTCCCCTGGGACTATTACATATAAAGATTATAATTCATATTAAATAATTACGTTAAATAATAATGTTAGTGTATGATATTTCTTGGCCACTCAATAAAAGGACAACGGGAAGTTAACCTGATCTATTTTGGTGAAATAAATCAGGTTATTTATTGAAGTCTGATATAAACACAAATACCCAACAAAGTGAAGAAGTGCTCTCCCATGATGAAAACTCATGCCCCCACAATGCATCTGTTTGTAGTCCATTATCAACCGCTGAGAAAAGCTTCTTTTACAATATTAAAATACATTTACCAACACCTGCAGGGTCAATGAAGTCTGTTACATAAAAAACACAGGTGTACGGTAAAGTCTAAAATCATCAGCTGCTGCAGAACTCCAGATATTAACGAGCAATTAAGTAAAATAATCTCTAACCTCTAACAATAAATACATCGGACAACATTTACAGGATACCTGAGCCTGAAATACCACTTTAAAATCTCTGTTTGCAGCAAATACAAGTAAACTATTAAAAAAACAAAACATGTTACGTGTTGGGCTAAGGGGCGGGACATCTCTAAGCTGTTGACCAATCACAACAGAGCCAGCTGACCAATCAGAGCAGACTGTGGAGACATGATATGAACCTGAAAAGTCCACAATATCTCCTCTTTAATTAAAAAAAAGATGATATGATCAAACAGCTTGTTTCCATCTGAAATGGGAACTGTATCGACATGTTAGTGATGCATTTAAATAAAATGAGGTGTTGAATATGTAACAGACTACCCGCAGTTATCCCACACTGAACACATGCACACGTAGAATAAAAAAACTCAGCTATAACTGCTATCAAAACATCTGTGCGTGAGAATAAAGAGAGACATGTGAACGTCCTGCCACGAGTCATAAAAGCTAATATATATATATAGTCAAACTCACGGGAGTACCAGTACTGTTCTGTGCCGACATGCAGGATACAACGTGATATAAAAACCTCAACATTCATCTGTAATTCAAACACCATTTATATAATTGATTCCAGCCGTGAAACCAAATCATTTAAAGCCGTGCAACAACACTAAATATTGGCATTAATATAAAAACATCATGTGGAAATGCTTAAAGAATAGTGCTGCACTGAATACTGAAATGTGTTTGAATGGCTTTACGTTCCCTCTGACCTCAGGTGTTCAATGACTTATCTCCTGGAAGATAAGTGGAAGTATGTATAGTGTATTGCACGTATAATGAACGGGATATTTAGAGTCCAACAGGTGT